GTGTGTGTGTGTGTGTGTGTGTGTGTGTGTGTGTAAGGTTACAGGCACAGTGGAGCTGCACAGTGTGAGAATCATAAAGGCACTCAGGTATAAATATCAGCCCTGCCACCACATCACCTGCACAAGTCTCCTTAACTGACAATAAATTACAAGGGCCTGGTTCCTCTGACACATTCGATGTTGTGGGTCACGCTGTCGTCTCCCTGTAATCCTGAGACTCTGTTCTCTGCTGTTCAGGCACCAGGCCAGAAAAAAAGAGCCTCCTATGCATCTTGAACAAAAATATTTACACATCATGTCGCTCGAAAATACAAAATAAAACCAGCGACATCAAGACGAGGAAATATTAAATTCTGAAAGTCGGGTTTACATTGTGTCGTCTTTGTTTGGATGAAGAATAAGAGTCTGGAGACACTGGATACGTTTTTATAAGAAGCTGTGAAGCGTAGCTTTGTGACCTAAATGTAACTGTAACATGTGGGAGGAACAAACTGGATCCCCCAAGATGCATTTTACCGCCAAGTGCAAACAGGAAGCTGAATACATTCAGTGTTCAGCGGCTTCATGAATATTTCTTATTCTTGTTTTCCTCTGACAGTCGAACAAACAAGACAAAGAACCTGAGGGCGACTTGTGTGAATCTTTGTGTGTCTGTGTCCACGTCACTTGTACAAGCTGAGCTCGGGGCTGTGGTACAGACACATGTAGGAGTCACAGAGCAGGCGGCGGGCCGGCTCCCGTAGTGACGCTGCGTCCACTCTGCTCAGCTCCTGCTCCGACAGGCTGAGGTATCGACCCACCTCGGGACACGCCATCACCCGGGGGATGTTGAAGCCGTTCTCGCCACCTGGGTGAGAGCACAGGGACGACAGGAAGCTCGTGTTTTTGTTGCATTTGATCCTGTAACTTGAAGCTGTGTCATCCGGGTCAGGGTCGCTCACCTTCTCTGTCCGCCATGCTGTCAAAAAACAGCCAGTCGGTGGGGAGGGGCCCGTGTTTGATGAAGCTCACGTAGTGGCTGGTCTCGATGCACGTCACAGCAAAGAGAGACATACGCTGGCGGGTGCAGTGAAGAGAGCCGGTCCACGCTCCTCCGGGGACACTGACCTTCACCGGGATGTGGGACATCCGCTTCCTGTGACTGTGGACCTGATGACCAGTAAGACGAGAACAGTCAGCGTGTAAAACAGACGGAGCCACAGATCGTTCACCTGGGACGGACACCAGGAGGACATCTGTCTCTTCAAGTCTTCACACTTGCTTGTAGAAAAGGCAGCAGGCTTGAAATGTGAAATTAAAATAATAATAATAGAAAGTGCGTGGCTACCTGTGTGTTGCAGGTGGGGCAGTACTGTTTGAGACGACCGGGGGTGATGTCTATGTCTTCGTAACACTGAAGACACTCCCACTCAGCCACAGCCTGACAGATGCTGCACTGCCTCAGAGCTGGAACGAGACGAGGAGCGAGAGAGTGAATATAAATACACAGTAAGACGACGTGTGTGAGATCATCTCCACTAAACTTTCCAAAAGTCGTCCTTACTGTCGTCCAGCAGGTCGGTGATGTCCAGGCTGAGTGTGGGCAAGATGGCGTCAAACATTTTGAAGTCCTTCCCAAACCGCGGCATGAGCAGCAGGAGGCAGGAGGGAGCCTGGAGGGGAGGGGGGGGTTAATAAACCATCAGCTCATGTGGTTTCAGGGGGTCAGAGGTTAAACTGAATAAAGCCTGAGAGTATTTCTGCAACCTCAACAAACTTGAGGCCGGCGTGGAGGAAGGACGACTCCAGCAGGGCCTGGACGCTGGCGACTCTCATCCGATTGGACGGCGGCGAGGAGAGAGGGATGGGGGAGTCGACCGGTGAGTGGGGTGCGGGCGAGGAGGGAGAGCTGGGCAGGGTCGGTGGGAAGAGCTGGTAGAGGTGACACTCCTGAGGCTGGCGAGTCATCGACCTGGAGGAGAGGAAACAGGAAGAGCAGAAGAGAAGAGAAAGAGAGAGAGAGAGAAAAGGAGTTGGTGTCATTGAACCTCAAATGTCCTGATAAAGTCAGAGAAAGTGAGAAAACAGAAAACACACCAACAAACAGACGAGTGAAAACATGAGAAGACGAAACACGGGAAGTGACGGTACCTGATCTTGAGGAGCGGCTCGACTCCGAGGAGCTGGAAAAGCCTGTTGAGGAACTCCTCAGGATCTGACAGACAGAAATAGAACAGCCTGTCAGCATTCCTCCGTCCGATCACGCAAACACCTGCAGAGAGCTGATGGACGACTGAAGAAGATAAATACTTTCACAAACCTTTCTCCTGGTTGGTGAAGCCGGTGTCTCGGCTGGCGGCTTCCAGCAGGCGCCTCAGGGCCATGGTCTTACTGGCACACACGTAGCCATAGCTGGGAATCACACCAGCACACAAACACGCCTGTATTTATTAAGAACAAAACTTTTAACACACTTTCAATCAATTGACCGTTCAGGATTGTTGTAGGAGCAGCACTGGTGATTTTATTCAGACCAAGTAGTAACTGTATTTGTATTTTCACTGTATTTAGTAGTGGAAGTAAACGCACAGTACTTTATACACGCAGAGACATCTGAAGACCGGCCGACACACTAACTAACACTCGCACTGACCTTCGCAGTGGGTTGACGATCTCGCAGCGCAGCAGGTCTTGAGCCTGAGCGGAGTTAGGGTCGGTCTCAGGGTCGGACGGCCAAAACAAAACCCAGTCTGCTGAACTACAGCAGGAGAACAGGCTGGAGACAGACAGAGACAGGGACAGACAGGGACAGACAGAGACAGACAGAGACAGACAGGGACAGACAGGTTATGCAACATCCTGTGTTCATCCAAATTAAACCTCTCATGTAAAACCAGTATTTTAATCAGAGGAGAAACAACAGTGTTGAACTTGCTCACTAACTGGTTATGAATCAAATCTCTTTTGTTTCTTGTTGCACATTAAGCGGAAATGTGTATTTGATGGAGCGTGTCACTGTTTGTATGTATTTGTGTTTGCCTGCCATCATTAAGAACTCAACAGTTTAAAGGTTTCCCACACAACATGTTATCCATCAGTCGTCTGTGGTCACATTAACTATATTAAAGATGTTTCTATCCTGACAAACTGTCCACGCAGACTCAGAGGATTTACCTGAACAGCGTAGCGTCCAGGTAGCAGGAGTTCAGGTGACCCTGGATGCCTCTCTTCCAGCCCTGGTAGAGCTCTCTGGCCTCGTCTCCGTCCACGGGAGGCGTGTGCTCCTCCACACGCTCGCTGCCCCACTCTGCAAAGGCTGAGAGACGCAGAGGATTAAAAACGACGTCCTCAAATTCAGCCGGAACCTTTTACACAACTAGCTTCATCGTCTTCAAAACAGGAACCCTGTTCACACCTGGTGTTAACCACGTGATTTCTGTTTCTCTCTGTTACATTCATCTGATGTGTGTGATGTATTTTTTATCTGGGTCTCGTTAAGCTGCGGTGGAAGCGGCTTTCTCCGTCCACCGACCGATAATCCAAACCTCCCTTCACGAAGCCACAGACGTCAGAAACACTCCTACCTATGGAGTTGCACCGCTCCACTTGATTGACGGGCGTCTCGGGCGCCGGGAACCTGGAGTCCCTCCTGCAGTTGCGAAGCTTGACGAACAGCCCCTTGTTCGCTGGACAGCGGAAGTGGCGTTCGCCCAGGTAACTGCCGTCTGTCCCTGCAGACAGCTCCTGATCCTGAGGCAGACACAGTGGGTTTGTTGTCGATCAGTGTCGTACATGGAGAGAGAGAACTAAAGGAATCACCACGCTGGACTTATTTAAACGCCAGAAAGTTAAACCAACGCAGAAGTGACTGAAAACTGAAACTCTCCTTACCAGCTCGATTCCTGCGACTGGTTCTGAAATCCCATCGATTCGCCCGATCCAGCAAATCACTCCAAAGATGGGAGGGTCGTTCACTTCCACCATCGAGCCCACCTCCAGCTCCCCCTCCAGTCCCGCCTCCTCACTCTCCCCCGACGCCTCGAGGTGACCCGGAGACAGCAGGGGGGAGACGGGGCTGTGGACGCCGTTGGTGTTTTGCGGCTGCTCTGAAACGAGGGGCGACGTCGGACTGAGGGGTTTTGGAGGCGGGAGAGGAGGCAGGGGTTTCTGGGTGGGTTTGGGTGGTGGCAGCGGGGGGGGTTTCAGTGCTTGTTTGGTGGGGGGGGTCAAGGCGACTTTGTGAGCCGTGGTGGGCGATGATGTGACGCCCGGTTTAGCGATGGGAGGGGGCGCTGGCTTCAGGATGGATTTGGGCATTTGGTGAGGACTGGAGCGGTGGGATTTATGCTCTGAGGACACAGAAAGAAAAAGTTACTGCCCCCTGTTGGCTGACTGCAGTGTTATAAACCTTGACTCCTCCATGTTAGTAGATGGGACATTGACCAAACAGCAAAATACAAGTTTTGATTATTTACAAGCTTGATTTCAAGCGTCTGTGGCTCATTAACATAAAAGTGTCCCTGAGATTAGAACACAGTGGGTCTGAAGTCGTGTACCTGAGGAAACCTTGGTGACCGGCAGCAGGAGTCCGTAGAACGGTGAAGGAATGTGGCAGAGCTTCTCTCCCCGGTAAAAACCGTCCCAGTTACCAACAGGAGCGTCCTGTGACGAGTAAGTCAAACACAAAACTGCAGGTGATTCTCAAAAACTACTTTTAACAACTTTAATAAACTTTACAAGTCCCCCGGTTAGACACAGACTGTGACACATACAACAAATAAACTTATAAATACAAAATAATCCATTATTAAATACAACAATTAACTAATTGTTGCTTTGACTGAACTCATTCATAGAATCTGTTTTATCCTCTGTGTCGTACTGACCAGCAGAACCCCGACGTACATCCCTGACGAGGATCGTCCCGGCAGGAGCCCGCAGTACCGCGCCTCCCCGCCATAGACGGTGTCCTCCTGGGGGAAACACACCCGCTGGCCGACGCTGAAAGGCGGAGGAGATGCAGACTGTCGAACCTGCGTCTGGTTCTGAGCAGTGATGAGCGCAGACTCCGCTGCTGTGCGAGGGAGGATGGTGATAGAGTGCGGCTGAGGAGCGCTGCTGGGAGGATGCTGGTGCTGCTGCTGCTGCTGGTGGTGGTGGTGAGTCGGGTGGCTGTTGCTGCTCTGGTGCCCGTTGCTGTGGTGATTGTTGCCGCTGCTGCTGCGGTGTTGGTCTCGCTCACGGGATCGCTCATGTGCATTGGAGCCATTTCTGCTGTTCCAGTGGCGGAGCCTGATGTCATTGGCAGGGAGGAAAAGGGCGCAGGCGTCGGGGCAGGTGAAGAGGCGGAGGCCCTTGTAGGAACCGTTGCCTGTTCCTTTGCCCGCGGCTGAACCCTGAGAAACAGAAACCAGAGAACGAGGCATTAACAGTGTTCAAGGCAGGCGATAATTCAATACACAATAAAAGTGCAGGAGCCAAGTATTTGTTGTGTTATCATGACGTCTGGGTTATGGGAGCTCATACTTTCTTTTTTGTTCCCACGGTTTACCTTGAGTTGGACGCCGAAGTAAACGGCGCTGCTCCCTCTGGTCAGCGGCCCGACGTACTTCAGATCGGCCTCAGCGAGCTCATCCTGTTGACCCATCTGCACCCACAGCGGAGCGTCGACGGGCAGAGACGCCAGCTGCTGCAACTTCCCGGGATTGACTGGAGAAAAACAAAGAAACAATGAAAACCTGGGAGAATAAACATAATATTCACTGCCCCTCCCGCTGAAAGCATTAGTGCCCTTACTCAGAAGCCTCAGACGAGCCTCCGGATCAACCACGGGCTCCAACAGGCCAGTGAGGTCACTGGGGATTTCAAGCAGGAACTTCCTCTCTACTTTTACCACGACGTCATTGTCTAACACCTGTGG